TTTTTTTTTTTTTAACAAACAACACCCCTGAAGGGCGGGGGATTAGGCAAGATCCCCAACCTGTGGATAGATCATGTCTAGTTGCTAGGTTAGTTGTCTGTTGCTGCTAGGTTTCTTCTTTCTTGTTGCTAGGTTAGTTATCTAATGCTGCTAGATTAGTTGTCTGATGTTGCTATGTTAGTTGTCTTATGCTGCTAGGTTAGTTCTATTTAGTTGAAAATAAATTAGGTATCACGTGCATTTAATTATCGGTTTAGTATAAAGGTTGTGTTGGTCGCTGATAAAAGAAGAGCTGAAATTAACCCTAGTTACTACCACTTCTCAAGAACTACGGTATTCTTAGCCTCCACTGTAAATTTCACAGCAATTGGAAAGTAACCTCGCTATCGGAAAATGGCCATCCACATTTCAAAGATGCCGACATTTATCAAAGTTATTCTTCAACCAAATGAACATTACCCGATAAGCATTCTTCTACCAAATGAACCCTAATATGAGCGCAATTGTCTATCAATTATCAGTATGATTAAGCATTTTAATTATGTTTGTATTAATAGGTGCTTCCCCTGCCAATGATCCATATTTTGACGGGGTACTACTCCCCATTACTTGTAGAGTCCATAGTGACATTCTTGATTGTGGGCGCTGCTGAGACTTGACTGTGGAATTCTTGGGTGAACGAATATGTTTCACTGATGGATGGAATCAATTCGTTCTTGATAACCTCATAAATTGTGGTAATTATTTGGTTTTCAAGTTGGCCAAGGTTAACAATTTTGAATTCTTTCACTTTGACAATAGTTTGTGTCAAAAGAATCGGGTAATGCGGGGGAATAATGTGCTAGCAATGGATGGATGCAAACCTAAATTGTTGGATATCGACCGATTCATGAAATTTATGATGACCCCCGAGAGCAACAGACTGGTAAACAACTATTGGGCCGAAAATAAGAAGACGTAGGCCAAGTTACTCTAAGTCCTTAGTTATCTAGGCACAAAAGGAAACCAACTCAAGCATAAAATAAAATTGAACACAAACACAACCAATTACACTTAGGCACAATAATTCACTTAGGCTAGATCTACGAAACTTAAACAAAATAGGCACTTCTTAAATTGCTCAAATAAAACACAATTAATCAACACTTGGGCACATAAAATAAATTTAATCTCATAAGCACACTTAGCATAAAATGAACAAAATTAAACACAAAAGCACATTAATCAAATATTCAAATAGGCACATACTCAAAAATCACTTATGCACTAAAAAAATAATCAAATTGACACATCCTCAAGTAAACACTTAAACAAATAGTCAATTAATCACTTAAGCAAATAGTCAATTAATCACTAAACGAATAATCAACTAATTACTTAGGCAAATAATTCAGAAAAGCGTACTTAACTCTTAGGACAATTAAATCAAACGCAAGCAAATAAGAAGAAATAATCAACAAAGTTTAAACTTAGTCGAGCGATGCAAATGTTATGATTTAACTCAAAAGAAACGAATGTTACAATGTCTTCACAGTTTACTTAAAACAAATATTGAAAAGGTTGAATTTCGATGACAACAATTATTGTGGTGTGAAAATAATGGGCTAAATCAGACCCGGCCCTTGCCCAGGGCGACTGGGCAATGGCCCAGATAAAGGAGCCATGGCTCGGAAGAAGGCTAGAGTCAAGCCCAAGCCGGAGGAGATCAGCGAAATCAGCCCTGATACCGAAAGAGAAACCGAGCCCAACAAGGAAAACCCCACTGGAAAATCGTCGAAAAAGAAAGCTCCAACTCTTACTTCGACTCTCAGTGCAAGAAGCAAGGCTTCTTGTGGGCTGAGTAACAAGCTAAAGGAGAAAATAGTGGATATTGATGCTGATTATATATGTGTAAATGAACTGGCGGTTGTTGAATATGTCGAGGATATGTACAAGTTTTACAAATCAGCTGAGAATGAGGGCTGGGTTCACAACTACATCGACTCACAGCCCGAGATAAACGAGAAAATGCGGGCAATATTAATAGACTGGTTGGTTCAGCTCCATAGGAAATTCGAGCTCTCGTCCGAGACCTTTTACCTCACGGTTAACATCCCCGATTGATACATGGCCGTCAAGACCATCTCAAGGAAGGAACTGCAATTGGTGGGATTTCAAGACGAGAGAGGCCGCCTAAGTGTTTTTTTTCAGTGCATCATTTTTGTATATAGCCCAGGGAAAGACGAACCATGTAAATTTTAAAAAAAAAAAAAAAGGAAAAGCTGAAGAAAAAAAACACGACATAACACGAGACAAACATGAAAATTTTCAAATAAATAAATAAAAACAAAGGGAAAACTGAAAGAAAGAAATGGAAAAAAAAAACGAAAAAATAGAACATACCTGCACGGCTACACCACACCACGTAAATACAGATCTGCAAAAGAGAGAAAAAAAAGATCAACCCACGAAGTGTATGTGTGATTGTTATATTAATAATGCGTGTGTGCGTTTTATGTAGTGTGGTAGTGTGTGTGTGTTCCAATGATATAACTGTATATGTGTATATAAAGACTGAAAATGAAGGTGTTATATTTTAGTGTTTGTGGTGTGGTATATTATATATGACTCACCTTTCCGTTGTACTGTGGGTCAATTTCTGCAACATCATCATCAAATAGCCTAAAACGATTCTAAATATCTCAAATTCAAATTCAATTAATCCCCACATGAACATAGATCTCAGTTTATATATCATAAATTAACTTACATATCAACCGTGCAAAGTGCCTATCCTCTCAGTACGAATGGCACTTGCAATCCCCCAAACATCATTCTTCAAGCTGTGAAAATGAAGACAAAATTGGGTGTCATTCATCAAACATTATGCCAACAAATTAAGCCCAATTGTTCATCATTAAGCCAACAATGCTTAATTTCTCCCTCTGTAGAGGAGAGCTAATATTATTATAGAAAAATATAAGTCAACCATCCCTTTTCATAAATGTAAGAAATCTTAAACTGAAATATTTTTTTTTTTAAATTGAAACCTCTCATCGAAAATACAACAACATAAATTGAAACTTTTTAGTGAAATCTCCATATGTGCGAAATGGAAAAAAAAAATATGACAGATAACTAGTAACAAAAAAAAAGATTTACCTTTGTACGACACACATAAGAAAAAGTGTGCATATCAAGAATTTTAGGGAATATAGATTGCCCGGTTTACTGTACTACTCTATTTTCTACGGTTATTTGTTTGACATCAAAAGCCAAAGCGAACGACACACTCTCAAGTTACAATTCCTACAACTTCATTGCCAAACCTCTTTCTTTTGGTGTGCCCTAGAAAAAAACCACGTATCTGTCTAGTATTATTATCTTTTAGCTACAACAATAGTCATTTCAAAGAGTAAAAAACCATTGACTGAATAAATAAGTATATACATCTAAGTTGAACAACAATTAACCTGATTCCCGTGTATCATAAATCCAAACCCAGAGATATTTATAGAGCAAATTAATACCCATTAAGCCCAACACAATCCTACATAGACACCAACAAAAATGGATCATAAACTTAAAAAAATAAGAAACAAATAACCCAAAAACCAGGACATATCCCTACAGCCAAGAGACCGGTTGTGGAAGGCCAGCCAAAGTGCAGGTGAGCCATGCGCATAACCTTCATTCTAGAAAATCAGCCCAAGCCAGAGGAGATCACCGAAATCAGCCCTAATACCGAAAGAGAAACCGAGCCCAACAAGGAAAACCCCACTGGAAAATCGTCGAAAAAGAAAGCTCCAACTCTTACTTCGACTCTCAGTGCAAGAAGCAAGGCTTCTTGTGGGCTGAGTAACAAGCTAAAGGAGAAAATAGTGGATATTGATGCTGATTATATGTGTAAATGAACTGGCGGTTGTCGAATATGTCGAGGATATGTACAAGTTTTACAAATCAGCCGAGAATGAGGGTTGGGTTCACAACTACATCGACTCACAGCCCGAGATAAACGAGAAAATGCGGGCAATATTGATAGACTGGTTGGTTCAGCTCCATAGCAAATTCGAGCTCTCGTCCGAGACCTTTTACCTCACGGTTAACATCCCCGATTGATACATGGCCGTCAAGACCATCTCAATGAAGGAAATGTAATTGGTGGGATTTCAAGAGGAGAGAGGCTGTCTAAGTGTTTTTTTTCAGCGCATCATTTTTGTATATAGCCCAGGGAAATACGAACCATGTAAATTTTTCAAAAAAAAAAGGAAAAAACTGAAGAAAAAAAACACGACATAACACGAGACAAACACGAAAATTTTCAAATAAATAAATAAAAACAAAGGGAAAACTGAAAGAAAAAAATGGAAAAAAAAAAAGGAAAAAATAGAACATACCTGCACGGCTACACCACCCCACGTAAATACAGATCTGCAAAAGGGAGAAAAAAAGATTAACCCACGAAGTGTATGTGTGTGTGTGCGTGTTATGTAGTGTGGTAGTGTGTGTGTGTTCCAATGATATAACTGTATATGTGTATATAAAGACTGAAAATGAATGTGTTATATTTTAGTGTTTGTGGTGTGGTATATTATATATGACTATCACCTTTCTTTTGTACTGTGGGTCAATTTCTGCAACATCATCATCAAATAGCCTAAAACGATTCTAAATATCTCAAATTCAAATTCAATTAATCCCCACATGAACATAGATTTCAGTTTATATATCATAAATTAACTTACATATCAACCGTGCAAAGTGCCTATCCTCTCAGTACGAATGGCACTTGCAATCCCCCAAACATCATTCTTCAAGCTGTAAAAATGAAGACAAATTCGGTGTCATTCATCAAACATTATGCCAACAAATTAAGCCCAATTTTTCATCATTAAGCCAACAATGCTTAATTTCTCCCTCCGCAGAGGAGAGCTAATATTATTATAGAAAATAATAAGTTAACCATCCCTTTTCATAAATGTAAGAAATCTTAAACTAAAATATTTTTTTTTTAAATTGAAACCTCTCATCGAAAATACAACAATAGAAATTGAAATTTTTTAGTGAAATCTCCATATGTGCGAAACGGAAAAAAAATATGACAGATAACTAGTAAAAAAAAAGATTTACCTTTATACGACACACATAAGAAAAAGTGTGCATATCAAGAATTTTAGGGAATATAGATTGCCCGGTTTACTGTACTACTCTATTTTCTACGGTTATTTGTTTGACATCAAAAGCCAAAGCGAACGACACACTCTCAAGTTACAATTCCTACAACTTCATTGCCAAACCTCTTTCTTTTGGTGTGCCCTAGAAAAAAACCACGTATCTGTCTAGTATTATTATCTTTTAGCTACAACAATAGTCATTTCAAAGAGTAAAAAACCATTGACTGAATAAATAAGTATATACATCTAAGTTGAACAACAATTAACCTGATTCCCGTGTATCATAAATCCAAACCCAGAGATATTTATAGAGCAAATTAATACCCATTAAGCCCAACACAATCCTACATAGACACCAACAAAAATGGATCATAAACTTAAAAAAAATAAGAAACAAATAACCCAAAAACCAGGACATATCCCTACAGCCAAGAGACCGGTTGTGGAAGGCCAGCCAAAGTGCAGGTGAGCCATGCACATAACCTTCATTCTA